GAGGGTGGTGCTTCTGCGGAGAGTCCTGTCGCCGGGCCAATCTCGGAAGGTCATGGAAGAGTCGGGGAGAGAAGCGGCCCAGCCGGTGCAAATACTCACGGAAGGCTGGCCTAGCGCGCGGCGGCCTTGCGCGACGGAGAGCCGCTCCTAAAACGCTTTCGATGCGGATTGCAAACACTGCATAGAGGAGAGGGCAACGTGGAGCCGTGTTTAAGCTTCCTCTGTAAATACAGAGGAAAACCAACCTTTGCGGTTGGATGGGGGATAAGGGGGGGCGACTGCTTAGATTTTGAGTTACCTAAAATGCCCCCAGGGCTGAGGCGCTGCCACTCAGGCCTCCCTCCTCCCCGGTGCAGGGCTCCCTCAGCCCGAGAAGGCCCGAGGGGGCATTCTGAGAATATCCTGGAGCCATCTAATCTTGCCTTATTTGTACGGAGAAAAAACGGATCCCTTAATGGGGTGAGATTTTTCCTCCTAGCATTGTTCCCATTTCCGCAGTTTCACTCGGCCTCGATTTTCTTCCAGAGTAATGCACCAAAAGAAATTAGCTGGAGAGCGTTTGATGGCGCAGAATCATGGTTTGAAGATGTTTATGCTCTATGCCGGACGCGTTTGATGATGTTCTCCTCGGCACAATTAATTTTGCAAAGTTCAGAAATGTGCCAGATGGAGCCCCTGGCACGCAGAGTCACAGAGCTCTGCAGACACACCTTCAGTAGGAAGCCAGCTTGTTTGTTTCATTTGTGATTTATCTGATGCACCAGCACCAAGGCCATCGTGTTTTTTTAGAGACCTTTGGATGAAATTCCAAAGCAATTTCTAAACCGGCAAAACGAAGCTCATTTTCTGAAATAATACTTTCCTGCTGATAATGTAACTAAAATGGAGACAGAACACCAGCAAATGCATTGATTGAAAAGTAGGCTCCCTAGATGAATTTGCGTTTCACAGCAAGACAAGGTCCTCACTGGTGTTCTAATGGTCAATTTCATCCGTGTGCATCTCTTGAAAGTCAGGACTGAATCCTTCCTATTCCCTAAGACCACGTTTGCAAAACATGCTTCTATTGTGTGTACCAGAAGCTCTGTTTAGTATGTACAACATTGATTTTTGTGTTATCCCGGATAATGTTTGGGAAATTTATCATATTTTAAATGTTTTTAATGGAGGAGGGGGCTCAACAAAGGCAAGAGTGCCTAGGTTCCAAGAAAATCATGATGCAACCCCTACCTTGGGTTGAAAAATTCCTTCCGTGGGGGGAAAAAAAACTGTAGTTTTAAGCACATTGCATAGAATTCTAACTTCTGTGACTTTGTTTTATATTTAATTTAAATCTACACAACACACCTGTAAAATAGGTATTGATATGACACCTAGGGGTTGATCCAGATTTTATGAGGCCTGAAATTTCTGCAATTTGGGTGGTCCTCCCAAAGAAAAAAGAAAAACAAAACAATACAGCACACCCAAGCTGCTCCGGCACCACCCAACATGAGGGAAAGTAACAAAGGGAAAATCCAAGAGGAAAGGGACCTCAGTCTCAGCTGATTGTGTTTAAAATATCTTACTTTTGCCAATTGTGCAAAAACACGACCACGTGAATGTATTGCTAGGGTTCCTGCCAGGGCCTTGGATGGGGGTCTGGAAAGATGCCTTGAAGCTTATGCTTTAATTAGCTTGTCAGAAAACTTGCCTCCGCTGTATACCCCCATTTCATAGGTCGGGAAACTTAGGAACTTGCCACAGCTTCTAAGGAGCACCTCAGTGTCCACACCATACCAAGGTCTGTTTTGAAGACTGGTGGTATATGCACTTTTTATGAGAAATCATGGATTTTATATTTCTGTAACAAAGTAAGGGCTTTAAAACTACATTAGCAATATTCAGATTATGACCAGAAACTTGATTTGCAACCCTTGAGATGGTCCTGCTATCTGGGCTGACAGTGGTAAAATTTCCTTAACTAAAGTATGAAAGGTGAAATAACCACTGGATTCTTAAAGAAATTTCAACCAAATTTCAAGTGCCACAGATTGACACCATTTTTATTTCCCTTGTCATAGACTAGTTTATGTTGTAAATACTATGTTATATAATATTTACCTTTTTTTGCCAAAAAAACCCCACAGTGTTACAAAATAAGTATCAGAACATGAATTTTTTTTGTTTGATGTTTACCTTGTATAATATGAAGAGCCTGACACATAGCAGTTCTCATTCAATGTCAAATAAATAAAGAATGAAATGGAAGTGATTACATAATTAGAAGAAGGTAGGTTATATAATAAGCTAAAATTGAATGGGAATGAACCAGCAAAACCTTGAACTTAAACTACTTGCTGGATAAGTGGAATTGACTTCCTGGTTAATTATTTTATGCCCAAGATTTGTGCTCATCTTTCTGGGTATTGGCTATTTCCCCTGCTATTCTGGTTTTTAGTTTCTTTCTTCCTTTCTTTCTTCCTTCCTTTCTTCCTTCCTTCCTTCCTTCCTTCCTTCCCTCCTTCCTTCCTTTCTTTCTTTCCTTTTCT